CCCCAAAACCCCAAAACCCCAAAACCCCAAAACCCCATAGCTCTAACTTCTGCTTGAAATAAATTGAATTAGCTGCCTTCAGACAGATTCCAAGAGACATTTGGGCGATACCAAAGATAACAGAAAGCTTCATCTTCAATGAATTTGTAAAGGCTAGTTCATTCTTTCCTAAATACCAGGTTGAATCTATCCCAAGGGATCAACTCAATCCGCCTGTTTAGAGACTTTCAGGCTTTGTTGATCAATTGTGTAACAATTATCATATAATTCAATTGGAATAGACATGAAATCGTTATCTTACATCCACAAGATCCTTAAGAGCTGACTTGCTCAAAGGACCAGAGAAGAATCACAAAAGTGCTCCAAAGAGGAACAAGAAGCTACCATGTCCGATATCTCCAAACATGACACCGAACAGGAATGGAAATGTAATAATAGTGAACAAAGCAGGGTTCGCTTCATTATAGGATGGAATCCCGTAAGTATTCACAATCTCTTGGAATGGTCCTAAGAAAGTGTTCGTTCTAAAATAAGTTAGAGGAGGGATTTTATGATTCAAACAATCCTCTAACTGAATTTCTGACAAAGAATACCCTTCAAGATCAAGCATATGGAGAATTTCGCCAGAACTACGAGTTGACCAAAAGTAGCCCTGAGAAAGAGCTGTCTTAGGCACAAACTTATTAAGATTTGAATATACTGCTTTGTCATATTCTACTATCATCTTGTATAGAATCAACCTAGATACTGCTAATCCTGCTAAATGAGTTTCTTTAAGTTTGCAGACTTCTTTTAAATAAGCCCTCATCTCATTTTTGTCGTGGTAATCAGATAATTTGCGTCCTTTATCTTCTCATCAATATCCTGCACTTTACTTTGAATACTTTCTCCAGGAATCTGTAAATGATCTTTATTAAAAGAATCTCAGGCCCTTTCAAGCTTACCCCTGAGAGTTTCTCCTTCTTGAAAAGTGATGATATACACATCTTTCATTTTAATCTGCCCTGAAAATTCCTTAATCTCAATATCTATGGGAATAGAGTCGATCAATGCGTTTCCTCTAGATGCTCTGAAAACGATTCTTTTCATTCTTGCAATATCATCCATTTCTATAATCCTAGCAAGATAGCTCATGCTTAGCATTTTCATATGAGGGACACGTTGAGCATTCTTTGAAGGTGATATTTCTTCATCAGACTCCTCAGACCCTCTCATAAAGACATGATCACCAATACTTTTACGGTCCTCTTGGTCTCTTCCAAGGTTAGAAAATCTGTTTATGTTGACATTTTCAGGCTCTTTCAGCATCAATGTTGATACCTTTTTCAAGACTTCCCTATATTCTCTCAGATAATTATAATTATGCCGCATATCCTTGATACTCTTAGTCTGTTCATTAATGAAGTTCTCTTTTTCATCACATTCCTTCTCTATCTTGTCAAAGACAGCATATTTGCTTGTCCTCATTTCATCTTTAAATGCAATTTAGTCCTCCTTGAAGTCACTCATTTTGGGATTCCTTTCTGTTTTATCCCATGTGATTCACATATCTCCTTAAGATAGTCGATCTTCCTGGTGATATCATTGCAGCGCCTAATCTGCTTTGTAAAAGGAAGGTCATAGACTTGTTCATGCTTGTTGAGGTCAATGAAGTCTGCGACTCCAAGAGCTCCAAATGCTTCCATAAGGTCAAATGCAGAGTCCTTACTCATAATGCACTTGACCAAGTTCATATCTTCTGACCTAAAAATCCCATTTTGACGGAATTTTTAAATTTTCAATAATTTCTCTAATCTATGGGGTTTTGGGGTTTTGGGGTTTTGGGGTTTTGGGG